GATTTTTTGCGATATATTCTAAGAGAGGCCATCGCTGTCAACATGAGTGCGCCCTGCTGATGAATATGGATATACTTTGCTTCTGAACTGCTCTCATAGGTACTGTAAAATGACAATCTTCCTGCATTTGCTTTTTTTTTGTTTAGTGTGTGGGCGTCGGTGACCCTCATGTGGTAATTTATTGAGTTCAAAATAGCAAGTGTTGTTCTTTTGACAACTGTGAAACCATCGAGTATTAACAGCATGAAAGAAGCATTATTTCATACTTTAACTAAAACAAAATAATTTAGAAAATATATTTAAAATGTATTTTTGATATCAAAAGTAGTCTCTTACAAAAATATGATGTATCCATCATTGTTATTTATGCCTCAGTCTATTCAGTTAGTTGTTTCTGATAGCTTTACTAGCTGCATTTTGAACTGTATGAAATCAGATGTTACTTGGCATGAGCACATTAGGTCATAAAAAGAGTGACAAGGAGTTCATTTATTCTGGGTTGTTGGAGAACTCTTGATTGATATTAAGTGACTTGATATAAACATTTAAAAAGGGATTATATAAGAAAAACTCTAAAACTAAACTGAAATATGCACTGCACTTGATTTGATTTCACTTGTACATATATTTAAAGGTAATTTTAATGGTGTACATATGGTGTGTGTTTAATAAATCTAATTTTGGGTATATCATAAAAACTGTACTTTTCTGACACATTTAACTCAGTATTCAGTATTTATAACACATGTGCACCAGAAATACTCGTTTTTGTGCTCAGTTAGGGTGTTCAAACTGTATTTCTGCTAGTTACCAAAAATGTCTTGAAAACTTATATTTGAAAAGTAATTTTTTTTGGGTAGCTGTTCTCTCATGTGAGAAATGAAAATCTATTAAATAGAATTAATTTGAACATATATTACCGCTATTCTGGCTTTTATGTAACAATCTTGAATTGTAAAAATCAACAGAACGGTAACAGTTATATTGTGCGGTAAATTGGGCCTGGCCTTGTTTGTTGCCGTTTAAAACCAAAAGAAACAAACAAGGTAATTTCTAGGTAATTATTGCGTGCTTACCATTTAGCCACATAATTACTAAGTCAGTACCAGATCACATGTGTGCATCGTAAAATAAACTGCAGCTTAGCGTGTTTTCTGTACAGTAGATGCCCTCTGGGATATAAACAGTGCAGCATTAAATGAAACTATCTCTGTGCTGTTGTGAGGCAGTGCAAAGGACATGTTGAGATGATTGTTTTTCTTATCTTATGTAACTTTTAAAAAAAATCTTTAGTGTGGTTTACATTTTAATGTGGCTGTGTAAAAATTCAGTGTTTCCATGTTACACACACGTCTGCTTATGAATATATTCGGCTTCTGCCTGTCTTTGGAAAAATGACTAAATACGTAATAAAAGAACTACTGCAGGTCATCATTTTTTTGGGTTTCAGACCGTCATTCTGTCAGATATGTTCAGTCACTGTCACGAAGGGAAAGCGACAGACAGATTAAAATAGTGCTGCAGTGTTTGATCTGAACACACTGTTGTTGTCAAACCCTCAGAAAGAGTCCCCAGAAGCCCAAGTGATCGACATTGTCAAACATGATGCAGCATAGTTCGGTTAGCTCTCTCTGGATATGAGTCATGTTCTTCCCACGCACTCTACAGTGCATGCACAATAGCATTGGACCGTTTTCTACTGTGCTGTGCTGTTATTTTGTGTTAAGTGTATTCCAATAAATTACACATTCTTAAAACTCTTTCACATTGCATGAATTCATCTCTCCTTTGTACCTTGACACACAATCTGCACTTGCAGGCAATTCCAAACCTCCTGCGCTGTTCAAAGATTTAGCTGTCCTCCTCTAACAAAAAAAAAACCTATTTGAAGGATGCAATCGCTATCCAAATAAATAAATCAACGGGCCCGATAATGAAAGCCATCCCAGCGCGGTGCTGCTTTAATGACAGCACATATAGGCTCAGTGTCACTCACTGTCATGGGAGGGAAAATTAGAGCCAATTTGATGCTAATCCGGACCAGATTTTGCTCTTTTTGGACCCAGTGGTATGTCCTAACATCCCAGGAAACTGCTGTAGGGCTGATAGGTCGACCTCAACTACATCATATAACTTCATAGCTGTCTGGTGTAGGGAAGCACATTTGATGACCAATTTCACCCCCCATAAGAGCGAGTCATTCCTCCCCGTGTGCACTGCATGGAGCAGAGGCTCATGGGTGACTAGCCTCGGGTGAATCACTGTTTTACATTTTCACAGGGGTATAATAGAGCTGGGGCAGGACACACAACTTGATGATACATACAGATACACATGTAGGTGTTACATTTTAAGATTAGCAAATATACTCATTAGAGGAATGTTTGTAAATTGCACAAGCACGCAAGTGTTTTAAGCGTGTTTGTGATTGCGGGTCACCCCCCGAACCCCCCTCCCCCCACAGCCAGCAGCACTGGCCTCCCTTTTGCTCTTCCAGTAACAGAGTGAGTGTGTGTTATCTGTGTGTGTGTGTGTAGATGTGAAGTTGACAAGGTAGATTTGCTAAAATGTCTTGTGCATTGCGCAGTCTTTTGGCTTTGTCACTGAGCTGTGGGGTGTAACTGAATGTGTTGAGGAGCAAAGTAGTCATCAATTATTGTGCCTACCAGCCAGTAAGGGTGTATTTGGAACGGCTCAAACAGAAATGAAAATCTTTTGAGAGTGACTGAGAGTTGTTTTGACAGTTTAATGAATAAACTTTGTTTGTGTTTGGTGAAATTTAATGAGCTGCGAAACATTATTTTCACTCTGATCTGATGAAAAGACTCTGAAGGCCAAAGAGGACAATTTATTCAAAACTAATAAGAAGCGTGACAGTGTTGCACTGCGAACTTCATCAGATAGTGATCAGAAACCTCATTTTCACAATAACACAGAATTGGTCGTCTGTAAGTTGGCACATTTCATGCCCCCCACCCCCTTTCGAAAATGGTTTGTCTTTTTCTGATGATATTTCAAAGGTACTGGCAAGCAGTCTATTTGTGTTCTTAAATGGTCATTTCTTGGTTGTGATTAGATATTGCCAATCAGTGAGAGGAAAACAGAGAGTCCTCAAAAAAAGCCTTGGAAATAAGAGCCTACAGCTGAAATCCCAGGCATGTGTTTGTGATTGTCATTTATTGTCTTTGCCATGGGAAAATGTAATGCGCATTCCCAGTTTTGCTGCAGCCTGGGCACCGAGGGTACACTTTTAAATTACAATATGTTATTTATCTTTTCGTCTTACTGATGCACTATATCCCTGCCACATCACGAGTCACATTCTGTACGTGTGCAAAAAAAATATGAATTTAGACATTAAATCAGATTTTTCTACAATAATTACACTATATAACTTTTTTTGTTCAAAATAACAATTTACATGTGACACAAACAAAATACGAAGAATTTAATTCTGAAAATGTCAAACATTAAATGTTCTAATTACATGGGTAATACCAACATTCAAACAAGCTGTAATTTATTGGATTGAAGTTTAGTCATCAAGTCAATAAAAGTTTTTTTTTTGTCACAACCTTAATTAAATGCATATATTTTTATTTCATTTGTCCATTTTTTATTCATTTTCAGTTTTAAAATGAAAGCCACATTTCACTCTCAGTACCGTCAAAGTAAAACCATCTCTTTAGAAATTACGCTGAAATTAATCAGAAATCAGAAAATGACTATTAATACTTTATATTTCTGTGTCTGAAGTTTTATATTGTGGAGAAATATTGTAGTTGGGCCCCGTCCTTTAAAGTTCTGGATCTGCTTTGCACAAATGTGTGTTGCATGCTGTGTCTGCTTGTATTGATAATAATCCGCATATAATCTGCACATCAAACCGCACAAAGCCATGTAGTCATGTAACTTTATAATGACTACAGACTGTGCAGAACTCAGCTGCTAGATTTTTAACCAGAACCAAGAGGTATGATCACACCTGGTTTGGCTCCCTGTTTGTTTCTGGCTCTTCATGGCTTGGCTCCAGATTATATTTTTTTAATCTCTTATGAACCTTTGCATAGTTTGAGATCCTCGAGCAGTGGTCTTTTGTCCAGGTTGAAAACTAAATGGTTTTTGCCATCAGGGCCCCGAGGCTCTGGAATGACCTGCCTGAGGAAATGAGGCTGTCTGAGTCAGTGTCTTGTCTTAAGTCTCTTCTAAAAATGTACTTTTATCGGAAAGCATATCCTGATTTTATCTCAGCTGTTTATTTTCTCGTTTTTTTTTATTTATTGTCTTTATTGTCTTACTTTTAAGTTTGCACTTATATTTTATCATTCATTTTTGTATTATTTCATTTTTATCTCTTTAAGCACTTTGTAACTTTGTTTTGATAAGTTTATCATTCATGTTAGAACATTTTGTGATAAGGAACACATTGAACAACTTCAATTGAAGACAGTTTCATTTGTATTGCTCACAGAGGAGCAATACTGAAATAAAAATGAATATAAAAAGTAAAACAAGTAATAACATAGTTGTTCTTTTGACTTTAATAAACATGTAAGATATACATTTACAAACAGTTTTTGAATTTCTGGTTGGGTTTTTCCCCTCTATTGTTTCAGTTCCTGACATATTCTTTAAGATGATGTGCATGCATATGCATTGTGTCCGTTTCATAATCTACAGCTCAACCACCTATTTGCCATCTGAAATTATAAGAAACACGTCTATTGCAATTTGAATCACATATAAAAATAATAAATATGCTGTCTGTTTAAACCCCACAAAATAATTATTGGCATCTCATTCCATACAGATTAAGGACACATGTTCATGGTTTTTGATTTTTAACATGTTTGAAAATACAATATAGTATTGAAAAATCTTACATCCCTAATGAGCATACTGTCTGTTTGCTACATAGCATTTAAACGAGACTCGTCAGCCTGAGCTGGACTCTTTTGTCTTCCTCTTAAATTTTGTTATTTATTTTTCTATCCTCACAGTGGATGCTGAGCAAGTGAGTTCACTGGGATCTGAGGGGGAGGATGAGGTTGGCCTGTGGAGCCTGGAGCCCCAGGACTGCCAGGAGAGCCTGGACAAGACAAGCCTGACGCCTAGTGAGGGGACGGAGGACCCTGGCAGCCCTGCTCGCTCCACGCGGCCGCACAGCCTCAGCCCCGGCAGCAGGAACTACTGGGGGCAGGTGGAGCCAGAGGCCGAGGCTGTTGAGGACGCCACCATCGCGTCTGCCGCTGACAGGGAGGGAGATCAGGAACCATTGAGGATGTACTGTAAGTTATAAATTAATGTATAGCACTAGGTTGTTACAAAACCTGTAAACCTTTTGTTATTTTAAGATAAGACGTCATTTCCTGAACTATAAAATACCTCTGTATTTCTTTCTGACAAATTAAGACCTGGCCAAGAAAGTAGCAAAGCTATGTAAAATGTAATATATACACGGCATGAGACTGCTGTGTAGGGCTGTACTGTACTTGTAAACAAGTTTACAGTGTTTTTCTGACGCAAGACTCAGTCTCATGATGCTTCTCAGAGCCCTCTAGATACACCTTCATATCAGCTCCATGTGAAACCATGCCTTCCCTACAAGCTGTTCCTTTTTTTCACTCTTCTCTTTGAAAAGGCAGCCTTCTGAAAGCATGACAAAAGAACTCATCCCACACAATGTCACAATATTTCCATGCATCAAAGAGGTGACGTTACGGTACTGAAATCAGCACTGCACGACGTGAGGCTTTCCCTTTTATTTAAGAGAGATCAAAGGCTCACGCGGCTTGCCTACTAACAATCACTTAGCTCCCTCGCCTCGTGTGATTTGGGCTTGCCTGATGAAGGCAAAGCTGAGTTTTTACAACACTGAACCGCACAGGCTCTTCCCTTCACCACATAAAAAACAGCTCAAAATATGCCAACATCTGCAAACATTTGAAAAATCTTCCTCAAAGTCGCTGCAAGCTGACTTGATTCGTGATAGGAGGCGCCCTCTCTTCTTCTCATGGGTTTCTCTTGCTGCCTGCCTGTCAATGCACTCAAGGGCACGAATAAGAAAGAATTCTTAAAATCTAGTTTCATATCTGGCCAACTAGTTCCCTGAATGTATTGTTTTATCTGTCAGTCTTCAAGTAAACAATTTAGTTCCATTAGATTCAGCTGCACAGTGTCACTTTATCAGTTTAGCACTTCCTCTGCACACACATTTACACACATGGATGTATAAACAAAGCATGTACATTCACACAAAGCCAGAGAACAAAACCTTGTTTCAAGAATGTGATTTTACACATAGTACATGAAAGTGTAACAGCAGTAACTGTGCACCCACTGACCACCTTTAAAAATGCCAGTTTCTAGGGGAGGTCACAAAGGAACGGCATATATTAATCTGCACAATAACTTGAGATTGTTTATGCTCTTTTGTGCAGTTTGTGGCACTTTTTCTTAACTGTATTGCTTTTATGCTGCCTTCTCTAGTAGGTTTTTTAATTCAGTAAGACTTTACCCATTAAATAAAGGCAAAAATAATCTTGTAGCAACAGTAATATCTCCCCGCAAATGTCACTAAGAAGGCTGAATGTGTCCAAGTATCAGAATTATGTAAGATCCTGCTCAGTTTAATGTAAGAACTAACTTCTAGTTAAAAATAATCATATTTCCTTTTATGGATATTTCAATTCCTCTGTAACTTTGTCTCTGACCTCAGGTAACAACTCAGACTCGCAGAATGCCTTCGAGGACCTGGCCCACTATGAATTTCTGGCCCACCTGAGGAAGACCTCTACCTCAGCCAGTCTCTTGGACCATCTGAACCACAATGGCACGGCAGTTGCATACCACCCGGGCGGCAGGCACGATGAGCTGCCACCTGCCATTTGGTCTCCAGGAGCTCAGCACCGTTCATCTGAGGGAGCAGGTAGGATAACAAGGGAATGGCTGCAATGACACTCAACTCCTGACAGTGAGTTGTGTTGTGTCAGTTCTGGAGGCTGATAGTAAATAGCAGTGATACAGCACATATCAGATTGTTGTTTGCTAACGTTATTCTGAGAAATTGGAGGGGGGAACATATCAGTTTATCAACCACTAATTGTTCACTACTGACTGTTCATCTTCAGGGTTTGACAAATTAAATATTATGATATAAACGTAGAAGAATAACTTTACTCGAACAATAAAAACATTAGG